GAATTGCAAAGAATGGGGCTGATGCCGGGGATGAGACAGGATGGGGCGGGGTGGGGCGGGGCTTGCTGCGATGTCGTTTGAACACGCGGAGAAAGGACCCGGAATGATGCCGGGGATGGCACTGCGACGTCGTTTGAACACACTGGCAAAGGAGTTGGCATGGGGCCAGAGTGAGGTAGGATTGCTTCTGCCTTAAGCCCAGTGTGAAAACGTCCTGTGTCTCTCCTCATAGAGCTTTATGGTTTCCCTTCCCCATTTTGGTCATTCTCCTTTAGACATGCTCCAGCTTCTCAACATCCTTTTTGAATTGTGGCGCCCAGAACTGGACACAGTATTCCAGGTTAGGCCTGACCAAAGCAGAATAGAGTGGCACTATTACGTCCCTCGATCTAGACACCGTACTGCCATTGATGTAGCCTAGAACTGCATTGGCTTTTTTAGCTGTTGCATCACATTTTTGATTCATGTTCCATTTGCAGTTTATTGGGACTCCTAGATCCCTTTCACACATACTGGTGTCAAGCCAGGTATCACCCATTCTTTATCTGTGCAGCAGGAAAAAGAAAATCAGCCCTGTCATTAAGCAAGGGAACTACTGCCTTGGATTTAAGAGCCTTTATGACCCCATCTTTTCAGTGGGATACCAGGTTCACCCATTTCAAGCACCTCCCTGTCTGTTTTGAGAGTTAAAATGGATGTCTTTGACTTTTAAAAAGCATCTTATACTTTGTTTATTATTACTGTGACATTTTAAATAGCATTTGATTGGCTATAATTGGTACAAATTACACCACTAATGGCATTGATTTAAATTTGCATTTTAATTTTTTTGTGTGTTTTTACTGAAATCGTATTGCAAGTCACTTCTGGTTCTCTCTCTCTCTCTCTCTCTCTCTCTCTGTGCTTTTTAAGCCTCTCCTGGGCCTAAAGCAACAAAATTGCTTTATTTCAATTTTTGCTTAATTGCAAAATATCAATTGCCTCTAAATCCTCAAATTGCTGCCATTGTCTCCTAGAGGGCATTTTGTAGCAAAAATATTTTTTAAAAACATTTTCAATTTTTAAAATCCTTTTGGAGGCCTGAGGGCCACTAAATAGCCATGAGGGCCATATCTGGCCCATGGGATGCATTTTGGCCACCTTTGCTAGTTTAAGGGGATTATAATTGCATTTCTTTATGCAGAAGGCTTGCAAAATCTCTTTAGTCTCTGTGTGAGTCCTTTTCTCTCTCTCTCTCTCTTTAAAATTCCAGCTGTCAAACCAAGAAAACAAATCCAAAATTACATCAGGGTGCTCCAGATATATGGCTTATAAGCCATGAGTGATGGCGGTGTGTGAAGTATTCATCCTTCTTTGTGAGTTATCAGATGGGACCAAAGCAATTCCTGCCAAAGGGCTTTCATGGCTCGGCTTTCTCTTTGGGTTTTCTGCTTGTTGGATTATATATACCAAAGGGCATCAGCAGCAATTTGATTCATACACTCTGGTTTTTGTCTTCCAGTCCCAGGTGTTGTCAAAAACAAAATATTTGTCTATGGAGATTCTTGCATTATGATTAAAACTGGCTTACCTGAGCTGGCTTAAAATTAGAAATGGGAGGCATCCTGATATTATAAATGCAATGGAGCCGGGCTGCACTTGGGTGGCAACTTTGGAGGCTAAATGCATTTATAATATCAGGATGCCTCCCATTTCTAATTTTAAGCCAGCTCAGGTAAGCCAGTTTTAATCATAATGCAATAATCTCCATAGACAAATATTTTGTTTTTGACAACACCTGGGACTGGAAGACAAAAACCAGAGTGTATGAATCAAATTGCTGCTGATGCCCTTCGGTATATATAATTCAACAAGCAGAAAACCCAAAGAGAAAGCCGAGGGGTGCTCTGGCAGCCATTTTTTCAATCTGAAAAACTCCCAGCTTCAAAAAGAGGCGCAATGGAGCAGCAATGGAGCTGGGTTGCACCTGGGCAGCAATTTTGGCAGCTAAATGCATCTGATTTGACAGTGGAACACATTTCTCCCTCGGAGAGTAGTGGAGTCTCCT